GGTATTTTGTTTCAGCAAGGACAGAAAACTAACCAAGACAGCATGGCAGAGAAGTACAGCACGGGAGAAACTGCTCACATCCTGGTAACAGGGCAGCAGACAGAAAAGGGCAGAGCCAAGGAGAGAGATAGGATACCCTTCAGGTCGTGCTTCCTGCTCCCACCTCTTGTGACCAGATTCCACCTCCTAACACCAAGACTGTTGCAGGGCCCCCATTATCCAATCGCTTTCTGTAATTCCCACATCTGATCTCATGAAGCCTTGGGGGAACATTTAAGTATAAATCATAACACATATACACTACCCGTATGTTAAATAACTTATTTTACATTTACATAGCACTTAACATGCTGGAATGTGCTTTACAAATATTAATTTATTTAATTTTCAAAAGGACACTATGGGGAAGATATTTTTATTGGTCTATTTTACAAATGGAGAAAACAAAGTAATACTTGGATATACCCAAGGACACAGGTAGTAGTTGGTGACAAAGCCAAGATTTTGGGTACAGTAATTCTGGCTTGATCTATGTACTGTACTGTGAGTAAAGAAGTGTATTTGTGAAAGGGCAACATTTTTATTGATATCTGTGAGTGACTAAAAATGTTTGGCAACCAATCAGATATACTGAGTCCTAATTTCAAAATTTAAAGGGATTTTAGGCTTTAGTCCAGCCCTTTCTCCAAGGAAAGACTGGTGTTCACGCGGTTCAGGACAAGGCTGACTGAGGATGCGGTACTGTGACAGGTGAAACAGCAGTCGCCCCAACACATGAGTGTGCCTACAGAGACGACTTCGAGCTCACATATATAAAGATCACGATCCTATAACTTTCCCCATTAAACAATGGTTCATGTTTGCCTATTTTGTTCTAGCCACTAACTAAAAATTACTTTGTTTCAGGGGCACTGAACTAGCGGAGGATGGGAAACAGAAAGCCTGGAGAACTCAAGGCGGAAGTGCAGGCAGAAAACAGGCAGACCCAGAACCTGCCTATTTCCCTCAGCGCTCTGTGCGCCGCTTGGTTGGTAGTGGCTCTAATACAACAGTAGTCAAAGAGCTTGAAAGGTCCCGGAAATAAAAGGAAATATAAAATTGATCGAACCCCAGTTTGCACCTCCACACACATTTTTGTTTAAATGTTTATGCCATTCTTCTCTGCCCTGCCCCCATGGCATGGCTATTCCTACTATCTTTGATCTCGCCGCACATACTCCCCAGAGCATTTAGCAAACAGGTGTGGTGTGACGAAGGAGGGCACCTGTAACCTGTATGCTGCACTATGACTACAGTTTCCAGGTGTATGAGCTAGGTGGCTGAGGTCTCGTGTCGCCGGAGAAATTTGGTGGAGACCAGAGTTCTAAGGGATGCACTTAAAAGAAAGCCTGTGGAAAACGGGAAGTGGGGGCTCTAGGAAGAGCAGAGCAACATGTGGCGGACAGGCAGACGTTATCCTCTAGCTGCTACTCGGAACTAGCAAACAATCGTCCGGATTGACACCTTTGGGCACCGAAACCCAAAGCTGCCTTCTTTTTTTTTTTTTTAAGTCAGGGGCTCACTATGAAGTTCAGAGTGGCCTTGAACTCACTGTGTAGCCCAGTCTGGCCTCGAACTCGCGATGATTCTCCGGCCTCAGCCTCCCGAGTGCTGGAATTACAACGGGGCACCACCGCGCCTGCCGGGGTTTCCTTCCATTTTTCCAGCGTAGCTGAGAACTTCGCTGACACCTGAACAGTCTTTTCCAAGGGCTTCCCCGAGCCTGCAGTCAGCAGCCGCGCCCCACGCGCAGCCCACGGCTCCCGGAGCGCGTCACCGCAATCACGCCGAGGGAACCCCCTCCCCGCCCCAAGGGCTGCGCAGGTGGGTGTGGCTTCTTCCCGGGCCCCGCCCCTCGAGCGGTACGCGAGACGGGAGGGGCGGGGCGAGGGAACTGGGGAGAAAGGGCGGGGAGCGAGCGAGCGAGCGGGCGGGGCGGGGTGGCCTGCGC